TCATTTAATTCTAATATGTTTTCATTTAATTCTAATAGAATAAGATCATTTTTTATACAATATGCCGAAGTCTTTTATGTCTACCTTCGCCTTTCTTAATGTAAGTCTAATTTAAGACACATCTTCTTCTAACTGGATCATCAAATTATCGACGTTTAATGTGACCAAGTCATCTAAGACGACTCTCTCTAATCTTGTTTGCCACTGAAGTTACACCAACCCTTTTAGGGATAGATTCATTTGACATTTTGTCTCTAAGTATCAAGCCACTCATCCACTAAGCATTCTCATCTTAGCAACACCTAACTTTATTTTATGCTTCTTTTTTAAATGCCAACATTCTGTGCCATAAAGCATTGTAGGTCGCACCACTATCATATAAAATTTTCTGTAAAGTCTAAGCGGTACTTCTCTATCACACAATAGGCCTAATGCATTCCTCCACTTCAACCAACTAGCCTTAATTCTGCTAATAACTTCCCCATCTATATCACCCGAGATATCTAAACCGTTCCCACATTTTAATAATTTGATCACCCATAATTGCAACTCTGCCACTAAAGCTACTACTACTAAAATTACATTCCATGTATTCAATTTTAGAGCTACTCAAATGAAGGACTTTAGACTCCAATGTAGACCTTCATAATTCAAGTTTTTCCCGAACGCTATCTCTACTCTTATCCACAAGAAGGATATCATTAGCAAAAAAACATACACTAAGCTACATCCTTATGTAAATGTCCAATAAAAGCATCCATAACAAATGGCACTATCAAAAAAAAAAAAAAAAAAAAAAACTTTGAAATTAAATGAAATTCAAAAACAAAAATAATGTCCAAAGTGATTGAATTAAAATGTAAAAAGTATTAACTTGTTAATGAAAAATGACCTCTCTTGAGATTGAGTGAATGACAGTTTATCTCAGCAATCAACTCATTTATTAAAAAGTCTAGAATTGAGTAATGGGCATTTACATAGATATGGCAATATTCCGATGTATTTACATATCTAACAACTAAATTTTATTTTTTACATTTTCACCTCCTTAAGCTTTCATATCACATAAAAAATTTTACTATTTTAACTTCTAAAAAGTGAAATACATTATATAAAAATTGAAGTACATGTGTTTAATATGTTAATACATAACAAATGAGTGGTATGTATGTAAATCTCCCTTTTACCCTACTAGATTTCCTTACCATCTGAACTTAAAAAAGGAAGCAACTGAACCCTGCAGGTTTTACTGGTGTTGATGATGCTTATGAGCCGCCTCTTAACTGTGAGGTTAGTTTATATGCTCCTCTTTGCATTTACATATCTAATATCTAATCATTCATATTTTACATACATACCACTCCTATCGTGAACATCACATCAAAAATACGACCAACCTATTATAAGTATAAATATCAAACTTTGGGTGTTAGATATGTAAATACATTAGAATTGTGCGGTATGCATGTAAATTCCCCTTTTACTCTCTTATTGCCATTCAGATAGTCATAGCACCAAGAGATGGAGTATGTCCTGCTCCAGCCACCATGGCAAAGCAAGTGATTTCATATCTTCATGACAAGGGATTTCTGAAGGCTTAAATTCTTGGGTTTTTGTGTCAACAGCTCGTTGACTCAATTGACATCTGTTACCACTTAATAATGAATAAAGAAAATAAAAAAAGATAATAATATTAAAATAAAAATTTGTGGAATATTTGCACAAATAGCCCCTCTCTTTCAGTAATTGCTGCAGATACAAATTGTATATGATTATTAGGATATTGCAGAAAATTCCTTTTTTTTTCCTTGAAGTTTAAGATTAGATAAAGATTGTTGTATGCAATTCAATGTATAAAACTTAGAAGTACAAATTAAAGGGTGTGCTGCTTCATGTAAATCTTGTATTATTAATTGAAATTGCCATTTGTGATTTGTAATTTCCGCAAAAACATGAGGCTTTTATGTAAACTTCTTGACATTTGGAAAAAAGGATTGACTTGAGAATCATTTTTCTTCTTGAATTGTAGCTTTAATGTTAGTATGTATTAATTTTACCCTGATTTTTTATTCATTTATCACTTTTGTATGTTATTTGTGGTTGTTTTAGATCACTTTTGTTTTTAATAGAGCTCTGTCCATATTTGTAATTACCTGCTTTGAGAAAATACATTAGATGGATGTAAATTAATGTGGGACAATTGAATTGGTTTGTATTATTTGTTTGATAAAGCTTATTTGATTTCTATAATTTAAATTAGGAAGATTTACATCAATGAAATTACATATTTAAAAAAAGTATTAAATTTTTATATATTTTATTATCACTTTTAAACAAGTAGGCTCACAAGCTAACAAATCAAGTCGGGATAAGCTTAAACTTAACCTGTTAACTCATTGAGCTCGGTTGACAAGCAGCTTATCAAGTCGAGCTGGAGACGGCTGACATGTCAGCTTGACTCACTCACACCCCTAATTACAACAATAAAGATAACACTAATAATAAATGAATGAATTTGATATTATTGATATTTTGTAGCATTTGTTTGGAATTTGGAAATCGTTTTTTAGAGATTTTATGGTGAGGCTTTAGGCTTTGGAGCATAGCGATTTTGTTCTTCCGACAAATTTGTGCCAAATGACGCTTTGAAAAGCTAATGGTTGCCGATTAGTTTTGAAAACACTAAAATTCTTTTTTTTTTTTTTTTTAATTTGAGTTTTTCTATTTTATCCAACCAAAGCCTTACTAATTCACACATCTAAGAATAATAATAATAATAATAATAATAATGAATTTACACAATAAAGGGATTTTATGAAACATTTTCACAATCCTTCTAGACGTCGAAGGTTCCACTAAGTAGCAATTGTTCGTCATCCAACGAATAACACCAGTCTTTTGGTGCTTGAATATATAGGAAAAATATTACATCAGGACTCCTGCCATAGAGTTACATTCGGAGTCCACTGATATGCAAATACGTGCTTCAAAATAACGTGCGCGCTTTCCTGTGATCTGACCTGGTAACACAGGAGAATATTCCTCCTGTGTTATTCGTGTTATTCATGTGTTATTGTGGTATTATTTATGTATTATTGTGTTATTATAACACCGAGAATATTCCCAGAACACAATAACACATGAATACCACCACTATAACACATGAATAATGTAGAATAACACGAGAGGAATATTCCCCTGCGCTAAAACGATTTTTATTTTATTTTTCTGTCACTTCCACATGTCTGCATATCAGTGGACTCCAAACGTAGCTTTACGTTAGGAGTCCTGGTGTAATATTTTTTCGAATATATAGCACATTGATTGAAAGTAAAGTGAAGAATAAAAGAGCGAAAGTACAAAGTGTAGTTGAGAAAATACTCATATAAAGGAACTATATACGGAATTATTAAATATATAGAGGAATTATAAAAGCCGAAGGTTCCACTAAGCAACAATTGTTCGTCATCCAATGAATAACACGAGTCTTTTGGTGCTTGAATACATAGCACATTGATTGAAAATAAATTCCTGACTAAAAGAGCGAAACAACATAGCATAGTTGAGAAACAACATAGCATAGTTGAGAAACAACATAGCATAGTTGAGAAACAACATAGCATAGTTGAGAAACAACATAGCATAGTTGAGAAAATACCCATATGGAGGAACTATATACGGAATTGTTAAATAAAAAGAAATGTTAAATTAACTTAAACTAAATGCTGTTATTATTTTGTTTATAGTCATTAGCTTCATGATTTGCAGCTTCAATTAGAGAATCTCATTAAGTGGGGTCGGCTACATGAATCATTTTTTTTCTATTGTGTCATATTGTGTGTCATATATTCATTTAATTCTAATAGATTTAGATCATGTTTTATACAACAAGCCCAAGTGACAGCATCAATAATTCATGTACAATCTAGCTCTATTTGTCTTAACACAAGTCGAATGTTAAACATCAACTCTCCTAACAGGATCATCAGATGGTCCACGTTTGATGTGACCAAACCATCTAAGACAACTCTCTCTAATTTTCTCTGCCACTAGAGCTACACCAACCTCTTCTTTTCGCATTTTGTCTCCAAGTGTCAAGTCACTCATCCACCTAAGCATTCTCATCTTAGCAGTACTTAACTTTGTTTTATGCTTCTCTTTTATAGGCCAACATTATGCGTCATAGGGCATTGCAGGTCTCACCACCATCTTATAAAATTTTCCTTTTAGTCTAAACGACGCATTTCTATCACACAATAAGGCCGATGCATTCCCTACTTCAACCAACCAACTTGAATTCTATAATAACATAAATACAAGTAGATCCGCGAAGATGCATCTCTATGTAAGATGCGTGTAATAAAGAGTTAAGTTGTGTGTGTGTTGCAAGCCGAAGAACTCGTGTATGTGAAGGGAACAATTTTGTATCTTAATATTTTCTCACGAATATTGGTACTCATGAATATGAGAAATTCAAAAAAGACGTATAAATCCCTCTATAAGAAATTATAAAAGGGAAAATACTCAGAGTCTTGACCATTTAAAATAGTCAACTAAGTAAAATTATAGAATCCTACTCTGCTCTTAATTGGAGAAGATGAGATAATAAAAATTGATTTGTCGACTTTATCTTATGGAGAATATTAGAGTGGAAGAGAATGATGATGATAATTAAAAAACAAATGTCAATCAATTGTTATTAGTATTGTAGTGACATTCAAGAGATGATCATTGGGTCATGACATCAATCAAAGAAAAATAGTAGAATGACAATCACCTAGTGATGATAGTCAAAACTCAAGTCAAGACATGCTACACTCGATAGATGAAGATAGTCTAAAAATGACTATTGAGCAATGATGGTCAAACACTATTAATCATACGACAACATTTGCTTGCAGTTGCCGTGATTTTCATTGTCGATCGTTGGACATGGCATTGAAAATTTTCACATTTCTAAGTTCTTTATAATTTTATGCCCCTTTTCATTTATAAAAAAAATAATTTGAAGGTTCATTCATAATTGTTTTTAGAATAATATTTCAATAATTGTAATTAAAAAACTAAAAAAAAAAAAGAAAAAAATTGAAGGTTCATTCATAATTTTTCTTAGAATAATATTTCAATAATTGTAATTAAAAAACTAAAACACTCCACCAGATAATATGTACCGATTCCTTCAATCAAATATCCTTTGATAGAAATTTAAATACTTTAATTTCTGACTTTGAGTATGCCTCAACAAGTACTTATTAGCTATATTATGCATTAACAACATGGGGGCAAATGACAAAATGCTATCATGCTAATGTATTTCTTTGTTGCAACCGAACATTGTCATTTTAAAGTTTGCAATGAAAATACAATCAAGAGTTCGAGAAATTCTCAAACATTTCATTAAATTTTAACATGAGAAAAATTTGAAGAGACAAAAAATGAGAAAATTGTCATTATTTTTTTTACAGAGATTGTTTTGGTTTTAATATTTATAAAAATGTCAATTTAGTCGTTGGACTCTTGATGAAGGTTTACAAAAGACTAATTCAACTCTTATTAAAGAAGACTAATTTAACATTTTTTTTTAGATTCAAAGGTTAGAATAGGCCCATATAACTATTTTGACGTGTTCCGCAAAAAAATATTACACGCACGTTATAATAGTTAAAATAAACCATTTAAACGTGCTCGAATGCGTCGCACATTCGTTGAAAACAATATGAAAAATCTCAATGTTTTAAATTCGAGCACTGACCATGCATAAGAAAAAAAAAAAAAAAAACACGTACGACAGCAATAAGCCTTTATCTCACTGGGTAGGGTCGACTACATTAATCCTTTGTCTCCATTGCTACCTATCGAATGTCAATATGCCTTTCCTAACATAAAGATCATTTTTTATACAATATGCCCTAGTTTTTCTAGCTCTACTCTACCTTTCTTAACATAAATCGAATCTAAAATATTTACTCTCCTATCATCAGACGGTTAACGTCTACTCCACAACATTAGATGGTCGATGTTTAATGTAACCAAACCATCTAAGATGACTCTCTCAAATTTTGTCCACCACAGGACCTACGCCAACCCTATCATGGAGATAATCATTTCGCATTTTTTCTTTAAGTGTAAAGCCACTAATCCACCTAAGCATACTATCTCGGCAAAACTTAATTTTGATGCTTCTCTTTTAAAGGCCAACATTCTGCGCCATAAATCATTGCAAGTCTCACCACCATCTTATAAAATTTTCCTTTCAATATAAGTGGTATTTTTCTATCATACAATAAGACCGAAGCATTCCTTCACTTCAACCAACCAAATTGAATTCTACTAATAACATCCTCATCTATATCACCATCACTCATCTATATCATCATCTATATCACCATCACTTTGAACAATAGATCAGAGACATCTAAAGCATTCACACATTATAATAATTTGACCTCCCCGTATTTAAAACTCTGTCACTAGAGCTACTACTACTAAAATTACATTTCATTTTTTCAGTATTAGTTCTACTCAAACAAAGGCCTTTAGACTCTAATGCAGGCCTCCCAAATTCAAGTTTTTCCTAAACTCCTTCTCTAGTCTTTTCTCCAAGAAGGATATCAGCAGCAAAAAACGTACACCAAGGTACATCCTCATCTAAATATCCAGTAAGAACATCCATAACTAAAGCAAAAAAAAAATATAGGCTTAAAGTCGATCCCTAATGTAATCCAATTGAAATAGGGAAATATGTGATAAATCCTCTTTCTGTTCGAACACAAGTAACCACTCTAGTATACATATCTTTAATATAAGTCATATCAACACATTTCTTTTCTAATTTCTTTTCTAGAACTTTTCTAGAACTCTCCGAAGGATATCTCTTGGAACCTTATCGCAATCTCTTTCTAAGACAATAAAAATCATATGTAAATTTGTCTTATTCTCTCTGCACTTCTCCATCAAACCTCTGAATAAATGTATAGCTTCTTTAGTAGGCCTGCTCGACATAAATCCATACTAATTATGAGAATTTTTTGTAATATGTCTTAACCTATGTTCAGTTACCATCTCCCATAATTTTAAAGTATGACAAAACAACTTAATTCCTCCATAATTTGCACACTCTTATGTTTCTCTTTATTCTTAAACAATGGGGAACTAAATACTCTTCCTTCATTCCCCATACATCTTTTTTATTTTTAAATTAATATTAAATAGTTTAGTAAACAAAGAAAATCTCCTCAAATTCTTTTTTACTAATGCGATGATAAAAAATGAAATATTTTATCATTATTAGACATATTTAAAACCCAAGCTATCAATTTCCTTAATTTTTTTCCAACCAATTTAATTTTTTGAATACATAAGAAATTTATATTTACATGAATCATAATATCAACTAATTTCATTAATTAACCTTTGACAATACCTATATTCCAAGATTCTATCTGAATATTAGTTTCATGACTAATTCGTAATGTGAGAATCTTTACTTATTTGACGTTACACCCGTGACTAGCATATATATAATGATTAAACAGTTCATGTCATAATCTTTCCACAAAGGCAGTGTTAAAAAAAATAATAAAAAATAAAACACATACAAAGTTACAATATAATAAATGCAATAAACTAACATGGAAATAACTAGGATTGCAAAAAACATTCATTGTTCACAATAAGCTCGAATTATAAATGAGCCAAACATAAATAACATTTATTTGGTTGTTTTAAGCTCATTTTAGCTCTAAATAAAAAAATTATATATATTATTTATATAGTAATATATTACATATATTTATATCTAAATTTAAATAATCACAACTCATGTGATCATATGATTATGCTTTTTTTATTGCGTAGAATGGTACAGGTTCGAGTACAATACCCCCACACCTATTTTTCTAATTAATTTAAATGAACCAATTTTTAGCCTAACTTAGAACAATAATATATAAATTGAGCCTAACATGATCACAATGCTCACGAGCAATTTCAAACATTAATAAACTTTAAACAAAAGTAATTTTGAATGAGTCGAACACGTGTTAAACCTGAGCTCGCTATTACAGCCCTAGAAATCACAACATTAATTCACCAAAAGCTTGCCGAATGAATGCGAACAAGAATTTCTCATAACATCAGATTCATCATAAGTATCTCAAATATATCAAAGCTCCCAAAAAGTAGAAGCAGAATCATAATTGATAAAATAATTCAGCACAAATTAAAATAGGAGAGAAGGAAAGCTACCATGATACACATAATTACAAAAAATAATAATAAAATAAAATAAAATCTCCAAATCATACATAACTAAGAACATAATAATAAAAAAAAATAAAATCTCCAAATCATACATAACTAAGAACTGAAATTTTCAGAACTAAGGTAGTTCATTGAATAAAGGAAAGCCAGAAACCCTGTTGTGACACAATCCTAGAATAACACATGCATAGCACATAATTCTTATGTGTTTACATATCTCACAGCTAGACTTTCATATTTACACACATAGCATTCAAATCTATAATATCAAATAAGAAATAACACTAATATCATTTTTTAAAAGTGCTATGTAAATAAAAATGAAAGTTTAGGTATGAGATGTAAATATATAAGAATTGTGTGCACGCATGTAAACTCCCCCTGATCATCAGAACACCTTAAGCTGGTAAATCACAACAGGGTGAGAATCTAAATCATGATGCCAAGAGAGCTTCAACCTTCGCAATTTGTTCTTCTTCGTTCTTTCGAGGCGGGCTCCGATTCGCCTCATCAAACAAATCGTGCTTCCATTTATCCACCTCAAAGCCTCCGGCACGATTCGAGTCTCTGGTACCATACCGAACAACGTTAGACCTATCGCCCCGTCCTCTCATTGCTCCGTATCTCTCCCTCGATTGACCGGCATTTCTCTGTATTTCTCGATGGTACAAACCATCTGCTCGCCTTTCGCGTCTATCATCGGCCCGGGGATAAAATCCTCCCCTTTCTTCTCTCTTTGTGGCAGCCAAGTCTGGGGGTTCACTTGTAGGTAACTTGGGTTTATCTGATCCTGTTGCTGCAGTATCAGTTTCTGGTTCGACAGGGACCTTCTTCTCCCGGAAGGCAGGTCTTTTCTTCAAAGTTGGAGCTCCAGACTCCAATTCGTGGAACCGATCATGTCGCCAGATGCTGGTTTTCTCGTCTGGATGAGATTGAGGCCTTTCGTCCTTCTTTGGCAGATCTTTCATGGGTTGTTCCCTCAAATCATCCCATTTTCTATGTTCTGTGACAATAGAGATACAAGATGAGAAAAAGGTGGGCTGAGAAAGTGAGGGCTTGGTTGGAGGAGCTTACCGGTCTCCCTTCGATTAAAGTTTCGACCACCTTGTCCGGCAATGCTGCGTTCGTCGTGCTGTAGATAAACGGACAGGTAGCCTAAGAGAGTTATATGGATAGTGACACTTGAAGGAATGGGTCTGAACAAGATCCCATCAAGGTAAAGGGAGATAACATGAAGAATGATCGTGTAGTTATTACAGAGTTTAATCACAATATCATTTATTCGACGCTCAAAGCTTAAATAGGAGCAGAAGGCTAATGATTGCAAAAGGATGCAAAAAAATTAAAATATATCAAAATAAAGAGCATTTATATACATACCACCAAATTCCCATGCAATTTACATATGTGACCCCTAAATTTTACTTTTTTTACATTTATACCACATAAATCCTTTATATCACATAAAAAATACCGCCATTTTAACTTGTAAAATGTAAAATGAACATTTCCGTACATGGGTAAGGCGGTATGGAGGTAAAAATTGAAGTTTAGGTGTTAGATATGTAAATACATAGAAATGGAGTGGTAACCATGTAAATCTTCCTAAAAAGAATTGCGGAAAAAAAAAAAGAATGGAGAAAAATACACCCCCTATGGATAATATTCTAAAACTCTTAGAAATATTTAAAATGTAAACTTCATAGAGTGGGGAAGACTTTTTTGGACCCTATTTTTAAAAATAAAGGGGATGCACAAGAGTGTGCAAATTATAGAAGGATTAAATTAAAGTGTCGCGCATTAAAATTATGGAAGAGAGTAACTGAACATAGATTAAGACGTGATACAAAGATTTCTCATAATCAATTTGGATTTATGTCGAGCAAGTTTACCATGAAAGCTATACATTTGAGAGGTTTAATAGATAAGTACAGAGAGAGTATGGAAAATTGACATGATTTTTATTGATTCAGAAAAAGCATATGATAAGGTTACAAGAGAAGTTTTTGGATATTTTCTAGAAAAGAAATGTGATGATAGGACTTGTATTCAAGTTATTAAAGATATGTATACTAAAGCTATTACTTGTGTTCAAACAGAAGGAGGATTTAATAAGTATTTTCCTATTTCAATTGGATTACATCAGGGATTGGCTTTCAGCCCTTATCTTTTTACTTTAGTTATGAAAGCTATTACTATACATTTACATGAGGAAGTACCTTAGTGTATGCTTTTTGTTGACGAAAATCTTCTTGTGGATAAGACAAGAGAAAGAGTTCAGGAAAAACTTGAATTATGGGAGTGTAAGTTTAAGATATCTCGTGTTTATTGTTCAAAGTGATGGTGATATAGATGGGGATGTTAATAGTAGAATTCAAGTTCGATGGTTGAAGTGGAGGAATGCATGGTTGAAGTGGAGGAATGGTTGAAGTGGAGGAATGCAGTCACCTATTGTGTGATAGAAAAGCAACACTAAAACTAAGGAAAATTTTATAAGATGGTGGCAAGACTCGCAATGTTGTATGGTGCAGAATATTGGCCTATATAAGAGAAGCATAAAACTAAGTTGAGTGTTGTTGAGATAAGAATGTTTAGGTGGATGAGTGGCTTGACACTTGGAGATAAAATATGAAATGAATGTATCCGTGAAAGGGTTGGTGTAGCTCTAGAGGCAGACAAGATTAGAATTGTCTTAAATGGTTTGTTCACACATTAAACGTCAAGCATCTGATGATCCAATTAGTAGAGTGGATGTTTTAAATTCACATTATATTAACAACGGTATAAGTACAACTTAAAATACTAGTGCATGTTGTATAAAAAATGATCTTAATGTATTAGAATTAAATGAAAATATGACACTCAATGGGACGCAATAGAGAAAAAGAATTCATGTAACCAAGCCCAATTAGTGGGAAAAGTGCTTATTATTGTTGTTTTTGTTAAAAACTTCATAGATTTATTACCAAGTAGATGCTCTAAATTTGGCAATACTTACCCGTCCAAGTGTTTCTCTTCAAATGAACAAAAGTAAGGCATGAGAATGTACAATCCAGCATTACTAACAATTTAAAAACCAGGACAATGCATCAGAGATTGACATATTGCATAGCAATAACTAGAATAATGATGGATGGAACTTCTCTGAAATGGGTATTCATGCGTCCAATTAATGCATTTGATGTAATTATTTAATTTATTAAGCTTATCGCCATAAATTAAAAATATTTAGCGTGTAAAGGCAGAAAATATTCAAGAAAATAAAATTATTAAGAGCGAAATATTTTGTCTTGTTCAATAGAAATTCCCTTAATATATTATAAGAAAATGAAATAATTTTTAAGGTTAGACCAATATTAGAACAAACCAGTCTTCAAATATAGGAAATATTTCCAACATAGTTTTATGAGCCAACACTCCCCCTTTAAGTTGAAAGATATATATCTATCAGAACCCGTTTCCTCTAAACAAGAAATGTGAGTGATAATATCTTTAGAATGCACGTCATGCCCATGAAATTATAATCAAATTTCATAAGTTCAGTTCATGCATGGACCAAGTATAGTTTCATTTCATAGACTTCTTCAAAAACAAAATTGCTTATAATATAGATAATTGCATGATAGTCACAAATAGTTTGGGTAATGGAATAACAAAATTATCCTAAAACAGATGTATTCTGGCTCAACCCTGGATAGGCCACAAGAATTTATGTTTTTTTTATTTTCTAGCTGACTGGATGAGCACCAACGAAGATACAATGGCATTATTAACCTGTCATGTTTTTTATATACATGAAAACTTGTAGAATAGTCCATCAATATGTTTGGAGTTTGCATATAATGACTAACGGCTCTAACAGCAAATGAGTCATAAATACTATAAGTCACGTGGATCAAATTTTCAACCAACCTTGGATATTGAGATGCACATCCTAATTAGAAGTGAGCTAAGTCGCCACAGAGGCATCAACAAGCTTGCAGCTATGAAGGACAAATTCTTCAAGAAAACCAATACATATTTCATCTAAGATAGTGCTGCCAATTTTTGTTGTGAACAATTTCAAATCTAACAACGTGTTTCAGTCATCACATTCTAATGGTGACAAAACACTTCTACAGATAGTGTTTGACTTTAGAGATGCAATTATGATAACTTAAATTGTGCAAGCTCTTATTAACAAAAATAGCTGGTAATGATGGATCTTGAAGGTGTATGCCAGATGAAGAAAGAATCACTCAAGGCACGAATGTGAATACCAATCTCAACAAAAAATTCTCAGATTTGCAAAACCAAGCTTATGAACTATATGTTAGTCTATAAATAATCTTCCTGAGATGTGAAATAAAATTCTCTATCTGAGCAGCATACCCAAATATCGCTTCATACAAATCGTCCTATTCAAGTAAAGAAAAAGAAAGGCATTACTCGCATCCATTTGCAATATAGTCCATCGATAATTAATAGCCACAAATAAAGAGAGTATAAAACGAGGTCTGGCAGTCTATCTCATCTTTCTATGTGAATTCTTTTGCAAATAGAAGCTTCATATTGATCGACCAAGCTGTCAGAACGAATTTAATGGAAAGCACCCACTTAAAGAAAATGGATTAAATCGTAATTGATGGAGCAACAAAACAGCATGTGTGATGATTGCGTAGAACACTTATTTTAATATCCATAGCTTTACTTTAGTAAAAAAATTAGTAAATTTTATCAATACATATTGAGAATAGAGAAATGATAAGAACATACAAATACACATAAAATTATTAATGAGCAAGACATATATGAAAAAATAAAATGAGCAATACAATGTCTTCTACATTTTCATAAGGTGATAAATAAGGATAAACATTCAAATCCAACAAGCTAGTTAGAGATGTTGTGGAGAGCACTTGAGGTCGTTAAGAGTAAACATGTAATGGGATAAGAGTAGGTAGGTATAGAAGCTATGGAGGACGAGAAATTTGAGGAGAAGATGTTTAATAACAAGATAGAGAAAATAAAGGTGTAGTAATCTGAGCTCTGAGCGTAGAGAAGATGAATAAGAGAATCCTTTTTAGTATAAGTTGAAAATAATTTCAACAAGGCATAAAATCAAGATGGCAATAAGAAAGAAATGGAAACGATAAATAAGATAACCTACGGTTAACCACCCAAAATTGATAAGATATTTATATGAGCATTAATGTTCATGCAACATCTTGAAAAATACAATTTTTGTGTTTAGCAACATCATTTGTTGAGATATGTAGGAGAAATTTGATGAATAACCCATAAGCAAAGTAGATGTGAAATTGAAGCTTAATGAATTTAAGACATAATTAGAGAGCAAGTATTTAATTATCACGTTAAGTGAACTTCTATTTCTTGATCAAAAAATTGAAATACATGTAAGTACTCCAACTGACAACTAAGCAAAATAAACTTAAGTGACCCGTTATAAAATAGAAAAATTATAAGTCCATAAAAATAGAACTAGAATACCAATTGTTTGAGTGGACCAACTCAAAATGGTCGACAACTGTAAGTAGAAGTAAGATACGCTGATATTTACCAAATGCATAGGCATGACAATCAAACCAGAATAGACATGAAGAAATGCAGACAAAATTTCATTATTTGCAAGGAGAAGGATGACCAAACCAACAATGACATATAACTCAAGTAATAATGGTGGAGATGGTAGAGGGAATATATGTTTTAAAATAGTATATTCAGCTAGCACCAGCACCTTGACTAACCGTTTTCTTCAAGAAGAGATCTTAAAAAGTAACATCAACTATAAAATGATAGAACAATTATGAGTCTTTACAAATTGTGAACAAATAACAAGTTAACAATAAATTGTAGAATATATAGGATAAAATGATAGAAGAATTATGAGTCTTTATAAAAAGTGAATAAATAATAAGTTAACAAATTGTAGAATATATAAAGAATATGAGAGAGTTCGAATGATTTACAATATTCATTCCAAAGACGAAAGGGGTTAAAATAGAAGCAGATGTGAGGTCATTTTAAGTGAAAAAAAAGTTTGTGTTGCATGTCATATAATACAAAGCACCTCAATTTAAAACCCCAGACATACCGGTGAAAACACTTGCAATGAATCCCAAGAAAAACAGAACATGAGTTGTTGAGGTAAATGAGTGCAAATGCTAAAGTATACAATCATAGTATTCTTGATAAAGACTAACTAACTAACTTTGACATCGAAACACTAAAAAGAGTATGCAAAATGTTAAAACTCAGAATAATGTAGAATACTTGATTATTTCATTAATATGAACGGAGGTATAAATAACCCTTACAAGAATCATATAATAGGAAAAATAATAAAAATGAAATGATATGAAAGGAAAGATATATCACATGATATCTCCAATAATTAATCCATATTAATTATTAGGAGATATAGAAGATAACATAAAATAGGAAAATAAATAATTCGTAATCCAAGGAAATAAATATAAATAGGAAAGAAAATATTTCCTTATATTAAAGAAATAATTTATTTCTCATAACTTCTTATAGGAATAAATTATTTCAAACTATAATTCTTAACACTCTCCCTCAAGTTTGGAATGCATGTTAATAATTCCAAACTTGCTAAGTAGTGAAGAAAAATTGGTCGTTTGGATTGTCGAATTTGCTAGATTCAGACATGACTGAATTTTGAGTTTGTTTGTCATATGCTTCGGTGCAGAAGAGAGATTCAGGCTTGACTAAATTTGTTGGATTCAGACTTGGCTGAATTTTGAGTTTTGACTGTAATATATTTCGGCGTAGAAAAGAGATTCAGGCTTTGCTGAAGTTGCTGGATTCAAACTTTGCTGAATTTTGAGTTTTGCAGGGAATGAGACAACCTAAACTGACTTTTAGTTGACCGTGATTGTCTCGTTGGCTGCAGAAAAACATGTAAATCACACCCAGTAAATTCTGTTGACAGAGAAAGCAGCAGAAGAAATGGCGGCTAAAAACAGAACTCCCCATGACGCTTGGGCCAGAGAAGAAAAAATACTGCAGGGGAAATGGCCGGTTGGAAACACAGCTCTCCCTGACGCTTTGGCAGGGAAGAAAAAAATACTGCAAGAGAAATAGCCGGCTGGAAATGCAGCTACCCTTGACGCTTTGGCAGGGAATAAAAAAAAAACTGCATGAGAAATGGTCAGCTGGAAACGCAGCTCCCCCTGACGCTTTGGCAAGGAAAAAAAAAATACTGCAAGAGAAATTGACGGCTTGTTCGATTCATGGCAGTGATATCTCCGAGTAGCGGCATCGCTGGAGCCGCCCTCGCGAGTTTACTGAATTTGCTTGAAATGATCTTGATGATGGCCTTGGTGTGAGGATACGAATGATCGAAGCTGAGATTGGGGTCCGAGCGGATCTCCCCCATGGAGTCGTCGAGTTGACGTCGAATTGGAAAATGGAGTTAGTGTCGCCGGAATCCAACTTTCCTCCACAATTACCTCTCTCGATCGAGAAAAATTCTTTATTCCCCTCCCTTACTGCACAGAGGATGGCAGGAAGGGAGTCTGACAATTCTCACAGGAGGGTCGACGGCTAGAATACGAAACTAGGCTTTGATACGATGTTAAAACTCAGAATAATGTAATACTTGATTATTTCATTAATATGAACGGAGGTATAAATAACCCTTACAAGAATCATATAATAGGAAAAATAATAAAAATGAAATGATATGAAAGGAAAGATATATCACATGATATCTCCAATAATTAATCCATATTAATTATTAGAAGATATAGGAGATAACATAAAATAGGAAAACGAATAATTCGTATTTCAAGAAAATAAATATAAAATAGGAAAGAAAATATCTCCTTATATTAAAGAAACAATATATTTCTCATAACTTCTTATAGGAATAAATTATTTCCTACTATAATTCTTAACACAAAATTAAACAAGTTATAGACCTATGTTGTATAGAAAAAGAATGATCAAATTTCTTCCAAAATTGTTTAGGAGAATAATTAGTGCATCAGAAATTAAGGGCTAGGTGAAAAATATCACCACCGTAGATGATGCCGTTAAAATGACCACCGTAGCCAGAACTAGCCAGAACTCCCGTAAGTTGTAAGCCTGCTACCAGACAACTAAGGATGATTTGCTAAAAGTGGAGGTTGAGGAAAAAAAATCTCTCTGACACAAAAAATCCAATACTAAATAGTTTAACAGAGAAAACAACTATTATTGACATCATGCAACTTGTAAAGAAGGATGCAAATCAAAAATAATTTTGATGAGAAGGAATTCAACATTTTGTTTTCAGTAAAAAGTGAAGGAATGGTAGAGGGCGCCACTAATGTAGCCGGTTCTATTTTACCCTTAAAGTGACATGATGATAATGGATCTACATATAGCTTTGTTAAGGAAAAAAAGGGTTCAAACTAAAAAACAAAGATATAAGAGGTTAACTTCTTGAAAATATATTTAGCAAAAAAACCTCCAATCTTTTTTGGCATGATTCAAAAAAACAAGCTGTAAGTTTTATTAATCAAGGCCTTCCATTCCTTTGCTATGTACTATGAACTTAACTCACATTACCAGTTACATAATACTGAATCTAATCAGCAAAACATAAATCTATATCTAGATAGCCTAAAAATGCTTTGGTAGTAAAGCAAATTGAGTTGGATTTTTGAAAGAAAAACCAACAAATGCACAGTCAATGCCTGCAATGAAGGGTATGGAATCACAGGAAGAAATAAAGTGATTCAAATCACTGGATTACTAACAAATTAATATGGTTCCAAACTTAGCCATAGCTCATATAGTAAGCATTATAACTAGGTTTCATAAAAAGTGATAAAAAATGGATCAAGGCAATGTGGAAGAAGAGCGCATGCTTGATGTATTTGGAGGCCTAAAAACAACTTGATACCCAAAACTTACCAGTTTCCATGAAAAACAAGGTCCATTTCGTGGCACAAGCGGACCCTGCTCTTGCAAACCAATAGGATGTTAAAACAAGAGCTACAAGCTTCTTAAGGGAGTCATATAGGTAAGGACCACTTATCAAGCTGAAATCACATTATATATAATATACTTTAGAAACCCATTCAACTGGAAGTTAGGGAGTTCCACTTGCAGTGAGAGAAAAACACATTCAACACTCAACAGTGAAAAAAACATAATGAAGCAACTCGTTATATTCCGAAAAATAAGATAAAAGAAAAATGGAATTACATCAAACATTTAAGGGAAAATAAAACCTGATAGTATGACCGAGAACGTGGTGCTTCTCTATTGTCAGAAGAATGTTGAGTTCTTACAGGAAGCTTATTATCTTTTCTTTCTAGAATCTTCTTTTCATTCTGAGGACCTAGAGTACTTGAAGCCGGAGGAGCTTTAAGTGGGACATCAACTTTCATAGATCGTTCTTTTTGTTCATGACCAGCAGCCTCCTTTGAACTGGAATTACGATGGCTGGAATGTGCCATATTTACTTCTGGTTTTTCGTCTCTTTTCAATTTCTTTGGACTAAAATAACACAATTTCACAACATTTCAGAAGATAAGTTATACTATGTAAACAAGGTGAGATAATGCTTGGATACTATGGTGAGCACACACACGTATTTGATCTATTGCTTCAAATTCAAGCCTAAGAACTGGCAAACTTTCTATGTTATAACTATCTGACAAAATACACAGCAATTAATAAATAATCAACATCTTATGTGTCTAATTCAGGACATTTCAACATATCAAAAGAATAAGTATTTTTAAAGCAAATAAAGCTAAATGGATTGAATATGAATTTTTTATCATCATTCTTCATAAGGCGGTGTTCTGCAAGCTGGTTTTACGTTAAATGGAATTTATCAAATCCAGTAAATCCAAATTTATCAAACCCTGCACGACGGAGATGGAACTTGTGAGTGAAGACAAAGTGAATCCCTTAAATTCATGTCGTAAAAGAGATGGAATGCGAGAAATTTTGCTTTAACGGAGTGTTGGATTTAATTTTCATTTTTTTGGTGTTTGGCGGGATTTACCATAAACCCATGCTAGAATAGTTTAAAAACTATGTTACCAAACACCCCAAAATGTATCGGCAGCCTAAAGTAGCTCATTATTCCAATGCAAGTTAAAGACTGTAACTAATGATTATTTGGAGGCTAATGAAATCCAAGTTATTCAGCTCAGCTGCCACTCTAGCAAGCACGGGCACATCTACCACAATCGCTCCAATCCGCTCTGCCACATACAAGCCTTCCGGTGCTGTGCTCTAACTCAACTCCAGTATGCTCTGCAGCATTGTAGCCTCTCGGGGGGATGCTATTTTTTTAGCTTCCAGTCCACACCATCCATGTCAAGCCCCCATCCTCCATCATTCTCTAAGGTCAGCCTCACCTTCAAGCAACTCTAACTCTCTGATTTTTCTCTAAGGGTAAGAAAGTAAGAGGGCTTCATTTTGGGTATTCCACTTTCAATGTCTCCATTGTTTCTCTTATTCCATTATTTGAGAAAATCCTCCAAAGGAATACTATAAGAATTTAATCCAGTTTATTAATTGCATCTCTCAAAGAACCCTAAACTTCAACCTGAAAAAATAGCCACTAGAACATTTGGTGGCCGTGAATCAAAACGAAAACTCCAATCGTACAAGCTCGCCAGCCTTGCGAAGTTACTAGGGGATTTCAACACAAAACCAAAGCAACGTGGTAATAAGGTAACAAGCTATCAAAGCTGATCGAATAAACCCCTAGAAAGAACCACACAGCTAAAATCACGTCTATTACAGATCCAATTCACATCAACGCCAATGAACGCCCGGCCCTCATCCTAGTCCTCATAACCATCAAACGCATTGCTACAAATCTTCAAATATTGATAAACGAATAGCATTGATTTCTCCCCAACTCAGATCCCTAAATTAAACTGAGAGAAAATAAAGAAAATGAAGGCTCGCAAAGAACAGCAGTAAAACGAAGCCGATTCGATGACTACAAGCTTCAGTTCCTCCAAGCATACTCAGAGAGACGGAGAGAGAATGAAGCGACGGTACCTTGGCTCTCGATCGAACCTGGAGTGGAGCCGCTTACTATGGGAATCACGGACATCTCTTTCCCGCCTCGACATGGCCGCCACCACAGGAGCTAGGGTTCCGATGGGCGCGTTTAGTCCCTTTTATCCCAAAACTCTTGAAGAAGCAAGAATTATGGACAGATAATTGTATGAGGATACCCGTACAAAAATGCGTCTCGAGTTAAGTGGGCCCAACATAATGCAGTGAATTTTTTTGAGAAGGTAGATGTAATAATTTTTCAGAATTATGAGAGTTAATCAAATTAAAATAAATTATTATATGTATAAAACTAGAAGTCCATTTTTCACTCATTAAATAATCCACATTCACAAAACTAATAGGGAATAATAATGATAATTAGATGATAATGATCGGATGATAGTCATTAGATGATGATAATTAAGAGATGATGGTAAAACAATATATAACAAACTAAAGACAAGACGATAATACAATAATAATCAAATAATTATATTTGTATGATGTGTATCTGACACTTATAGAAAATTGATGATCCTTGTCAGTAGTAATTGTTTAGATTAGTCATTACATAAACTCTTTAAAATGATGATATTTTGTTTGTCAACTCCCTCAGATTTGTGACAATGAGAGCTTAAAATAATATATATCAATCATCGATTAGAGATTTTTTTGTGATAATGATTACCATTATGTTAGTGTTAACCACGACACTTCACCATTAGTTGGTAGCCTGATCTAATCTCATATTGATAAGCTAGCCAATCATATGTTTAATTTCGAAGGGTGTGATATAATGGTTCCATTATTGATTATAATATGAAATCTTTTAATATTATTTTTAATATTGATTCTCAGATTTGTGACAGTGAGAGCTTAAAATAATGTATATCAATCATCGATTAAAGATTTTTTTGTGATAATGATTACTATTATGTTAGTGTTAACCACCGCAATTCACCATTAGTTGGCAGCCTGATCTAATCTCATATTGATAATCAAGCTAATCATATGTTTAATTTCGGAGGGTGTGATATAATGGTTCCATTATTGATTAAAATATGAAATCTTTTAATATTATTTTTAATATTGATTAAAATATGGTGTTTAAAATTTAGAAGGAAACATTAGTTTTATGAATTTTCCATATTCTAAATTCCGAAATAGTAATAAATATAAAGCTTTGATTGTTTTTATAAATTCTAGTTAATTATTCCAATGTTTCTCAATTCTTTATGTTTTATAAACTACATTTGGCCGATTGTTGTTACTTTGATTTAATACAATACACATGCTCACTTGATGCTTATGAACGTTAACAATTCATTGTTCGTGGGTTGCACGTCATTCTCAATGTATATTGTAAACTGATATACATTCTTTACCAATCTCTCGTGTCTTATTGATCGTTTGTTCTCAATGCCAATCTTTTGCTTTGGACTCTCCATCCATATATCACTCACCTTTCACTTGATTTATATCATCAAATTTTCCATTAATAGATTTTGCCTTGACTTGTTATAATATGTTATTGCACTATCACTTATGCTCTGACATTCCATCCCATCATACGATTGTCTAAACCATCAAGGGATGTAGATCATCTTCCAAGTGCTCAGTCCATCCCTCCATCCATGATAAGGGCGCTCCACCGCGCCCCAACCAATTTATGAGATGGATTATTCTAAATTCTAACCATCTACATTGCTATGTACATCCACACATTCAATTCTCTTATTAGATTAAAAAAGAAATGTGGTAAAAAAATAAACCTAATTTAAAATTTATGGCATAAACTTGAGTGAGGCTATAGTGAGGGCATTGGAGGTTCATGCTCCCACGGGACCAATTCAAAAACATCCATGGTTCCCCCTTCAAGTATTTTAAAACGAACAAAACTAAAGTTCAACCAATATAATATGAAGCTCGCATCCCAGAAGGCTAGTACTTCAAGCTTCTAAGACACATTTGTATGAACTCTTCAAGCTACATTGCTACACCTTCTTATTTAAAGATAAACCATAATATACCTCTTTTAGATGTGAGATTAAATGCAATATGTAGGGGAATAGCTTAAATGTATTAGCTATATAAATATGTTAAATGTGAAACTTATAATTTCGAATATTTATTTATCGAATGGATTAATCAATTTAATAGCGATGAATGTCAAATGAATTAATCAAATTAATATATATTTTAGTTTTAGCAAAATTTTGTTGATATTTTTTTTCAAAACAGACAGAGAGAACATGAATATAATCTTATATGAAAATCGTACTTATCATTCTATAACTCAAAAAAAATATAAGGGTTATGAAACTAAACAATAGTCGTTGTCTGGCTACAACGGTTGCAAACAGTGATTGCTAACGACTGGTGATTGATGACAGCAGATGGCGACGATGGGCGTTGGTTGATGGTGTTCGATAGTTATTGAGGCGGATGGTCAGTGGCTGGTGGCTACGGAGACTGGTGGTTACTAACGGGGTCTTCTCTCGACAACAGACTATAATCTCACGTCTCACTATATTCTTCTCTTCTTCAATTTTTGAGAAAGGATATTTGACACATAACTTCAATTGATGAGAAAAGATAATTTATAATTTTTTTTTGAGAAAGGGAATCTTCTCTCCGTTTCTTTTGAGAAAGGCCCACTCTAAGTGATGAAAGGGGGCCTAATAATATTTTTTTGAGAAATGGCATTTTGGTCATTTAATGCATAAGTTCCCTAACAATCAGTTCGGATGGTTCGTGATGACCCCCCCATTTATCATATGAAATCTTTAAGGATTTCAGTGTCTTAAGGACATTAAAATTGAGTGATCTTAAGCTCTCTGGAATAATTTTATCAAAACACAAGATTCAATTAAAAATATGTCAAATTTGGAGCTCATTTGACTAGTCAATTGATGATCCAAAATATTCAATTGTGTTTTAACAACTTGATTTGGGCTTGATTGGAGACAAATTGAACCAATTTTAGAGTCCTTGGGTTCATCTTGCCGAGACACTCAGTTTGATTATAAATATAATGAAATTAGAGCTTGTACGATCATTAGTTTGTAATTGGAACGTTTCTTGCTCAAAGTACTTCAAGATTTATGCTAGATAATAACATTTTCTAACTCACATGTCACAGCTAATATTTTTTTTATAAATAATAGTATTTAAATATATATATATATATATATAATACAAAAGATAAATAGAAAACCTTCGGTCAAACTAAATTGGAGTGAAGGCGATATTCATACATGTTGCACAATCTTTATAGTAGTACACGATCCCAATATGCTACTCATACATTAATGGATTTTTTATTGTGTTGTTGTGGGCTGGGCTTAGGTCTGATATATTGACAAACAAAAATTCACTTCATTTGTCTCCCAATAGTGAAAACTATAAAAAAAAATTATCTTCTTTATTTTCTTATTCAAATATTTCATAATGTTTATTTTTCAATCAAAAGGCATGTTTTATTAAAAAAAAAAATCAAAACTTTCATGTAAAAATTCCAAATAATAAGCTACTTGACCTTTTACAAACACTTTTTTAGTCACTGGAGATTATTGTTTATGTGTGATTATTCTATGAGAAAGTTTTGAGGTATACTCTCTGTTTTCATCATCTTTTGATGTCGCGGGAGTAGGATGTCCGCTCGAACGAGCTTAGGATATGCATCAAGCACATATGACTCCCTGAGGGTCGAGATATCTGCCATTGATCTTCAGGCAAGTTGTTGAGATTGTTTTGCTAGGCTTTCGTTGTCAATGAGGTGAGGGTCGACTGACATTACATTGATTGGACAACCCCAGCCAAATGAGTTTTGTTCGGCGCAACGCGAACAAATCTGGCGCTAAATTTACTTGCTCTTGAGGAATTATTCTTTAGATGACTCTGAATGGTGGAACAGACAATGTGGATGCATTTGAAACGTCGTTTTCACCTATCGAGGGTCTTCTAGATCCTTCCATTTGACTTAAATCGCCAGAAATAGAAAACAACCCCAAACAGAGTCGGCATGACCACACCCACATGGGGGCGTGACCATGCCTAGAAGTGGCCACACCCTATTTGTAGTGTGGCGACGCAACACTCTTCAGTCATTCTACATGGTTCCCCATTTTGCAACTTAACGCCATCTTTTCATGATAAGGGTATAATTGTAATTTTATAAATTGTTATGACTTTGAGGTTAATTTAGTTGGATGATACTAAGTTAGTGGGATTAAGTTAGGAAGATAATAATTCACTCATTTGAAGCCCCTAATTGGTGATTATATGATAGTATGACCCTTCAATGAGAATTGGATTTCATTTGATTTAACATTCCTAAAATTACAAATTTACCCACGAAATCTTAATGTGCTTAGTAATGAACTAGGCTTAATCCAAGATTGTTTAATGAGGTTTAGGAAAGATAATATAACTGATCGTGAACATTTTGAAAACAATACAAGCCCGACTTTAATCTGGGTTATAAAATCTTTAACGATTTTGAGTTTGTCCCTTAGGGCATTCATTCATATAACTTTTAAGTAAAACATTAAGTGATTGTTTGATTACCCCACTCTTGGGATAATTAAAATATCAAGGTACACTGAGCATAAGGTGTATTAATTTATTGAAACTAAAATCTAAATTTGGATGATTAATTGAACATTATAATAAAATCAAATGAACTCGAAATGTTTTAAAGGATTTTAAATTTTGTTTAGGGTTATGCCCCGAACATTTTAGAATCCTTTGGATACTTTGAAAGACAATTAAATTTATTATTCTTTGTTTAAGAAAATCATCCATTAAAACCCTTAAGGATCCACGAAGTTATGACCTAGGGTTTGGTAGATACACCTTTAACCGGTCTTCTTGTTTTTTGTTCTTGCAATTTATTTGTTCTTGCAATTTATTTAATCTTGCAATTTATTTAAATTTCTTGCAAAATTATATATATGTTGTAAGTTCTAATATTTCAGCAAGAGTGGAAGAAGATGACATATAAGCATTTACATTTTTGCAATGCAATTTATTTTTTACTGCATTTCATACTTGTGCATGCTTCAACTACAAAACCTTTTTCAAAATAAAAAATTACAAAACCATTTTTTTTAAAAATTAAACAACAATTTCAAAAAATAAACAAATTAAAAAACAAAACAACAATTTCATAACACGTCCTTTTGAATTTACGGGAGTCCCTCGGATGAAGTAACCTAAGGTGGCTAACAAGATCTCCCCAGTTTAAATGAGCTTAACAACTTGTTTAAGCTAAGTAAATTCAAAAGAAAATAATAGTACCGGAACAAGGGAACCGTGTGATCCTAACTGATGTCGCTCTAATCAACTTTAACCCCACCAACCCCCGTATTGACTGAATATACTCGTCATTTAAACCATTGAACCTTAGACTTTAGACTACTACTTTGACGATGAGCTTGGAGCTAGCGCCAAAGGCAACATTCTACAACAACAAGGAGATCTACAACAACAAATCTCTTTTTTAAAATCAAACAACAAGACATAGGATTTTGCGATCGTTTTCCTCGTGTAATATAAATCATCACTTTATCTTTAGGCTTTTACACAATCATGTTGTGTAATTTAAGCCCTAATTACTTTTAGGATTCCAAGGTTGTCGTCAGTTACAACATAAATCATCCTATCTTCCAGGCTATTTGTATGATTATTTCATACAAATGTAAGCCCTAAATAATAATAATTGGCATGATGAAATATTTAATAAGCTCCTTCTCGAAATTGAAGTCAAACCATAGGATAACTTAAAAAATCAATGAGGTTCTCTTTAGAATCTATGACAACCCCTGGTTTTCTCCCTTTGGATTCTATAACAATGTTCCAAATTTGAATCTTCCCATTTGACACTCCTTGGTCTGATCTTTGAAAAGTCTTACCCTTTAAAATTCTTGAAGACAATATTTTTTTATCTAAATTGATAGTTTTCTTAGGTGACGTCGGTCATTTAAAATGTAATTAACTATAAGGGTTTGCCCTTATAGGAAACTTTAAGAATCCAACCTAATATAAACTCTATATAATCTTTAATATTAGATAGGAGAATTTGTCGGTCAACATAAAAGGTTCACAAATTAAAACGAATGTCGTAAATTCTTTAGTTTATTTAATCGAGACGCACTAGTAAGTAATGTGTTTATTCCTAGGGATAGATGAATCACTTATGGTGTTGTGCTCGTTTATTTAAACTATCGTCTACAAGAGATCAGTTTGGTTTCGTATTTTCAAAATTAAATATTACTTTTCAAATTTATATTATATATATCACATTAAATCAAACATCTCTTTTCCAACGACGAAAAGGTGACCGACAAATTACTCAAAAGAAAAAAATAAGCATCTTGTTTGATTATGTAGAAAGTATGAGAAGTAACAAAAGAACATCATATTCAAGTCAGTACATGCCTCCCAATGAAGAGGCGATGAAGTTCATTATTATTGTATAAGAGTTAAAGAACAACCATATTTGTTTAATGCACTTACCAGCCATGTCTGTAGTTTTGTATATAAAGACGAGTTAGAAAGAAAGAAGGAGAGCAAGACCGTACTTACTACTAATTCATCAATTAACAGAATTGAGGTCATGGACGAACTTTTGAAGGAGACGGACGAGAAGATGTAGTTGACCAAGGGCACAAGGTCCCTTACAATTGAATGTATAAATTAGGGAGTCACATAGTTGGAAGATATCAACCAATTATTGTTAGGGTTTAGAAGAAGAAAGTAGAAGAATAATATGTATTTAACTTAAAATTTAACAAAACTATTAATGAAGAAGCACATGCTAAAATCCATGCACCGCGGAACTCTTCTACCTACTTTCAAGTCTTATATGTCAAGGTAAGTTAAAAACTCTAAAATAAGAATATAGATGTGGATAGTAAAAGCTCAAATTAGTCTCAATAGCTGTATATTTCTACAATATAGCTAGATAGTAAGGTCAAAATATTTTATTTTATTAAAAAATATAAGCTCAAATATTCTTTATGCCCACTTCAATTTTTTTTTTTTTACAACACAACTATTCTTTATGCTTCCTAATAAACAAATGAATCTAATGCCACCTAAGGATATATAGATCAAAATTATTATGTTAAATGATTTATTTGGTTAGTGCTTCTAATCAACAATCTCCACTTAAAGTAAATTCAAGAGAAATGACATTTTCAAGTGGTCCAATAGGTCATTATGTATGTCATTGGAGGGAAGTAAGAACTTTCATGTCATGGGAGAATGCATAAGACAAATTTTTCAATGAACAAAATAAATTTTATTAAATGATACATGAGATACCACTTCCTCTAAAGGTTACGACATTGTATGACATTAACCATTTCACGCAATAGTAAGTTTGTTTTGTAAGTATTTTTTAAAAATTTTGGAGATGCTGGGATTATTTGAAAATAGGTGGGAACTTCTCTTCCCCAAATCTTCGTCAAAGTGGAGGAGGATCACCACGTGAGGTTTCTAGGTCTACAATTAAGTATATTTTTTAAAATTTAACAGTATTACTTTAATGCATGCAATATGATGGTTATTTTGTATTTTATTTGTAGTAACGATGCATAATGTATGTAATATAGTAATTTATATGCTTGATTTCAATGAAAATATTTTAGAAGTTATATCTAATCACACACATTTTAATGCAAGTTATTATGTGTAAATTTATTTCAAAAGAATATGGATCCATATGATAATGTATTTTGCTTTCTTGATTATAAGTATTATTTTGTGTACATTTATTATTTCATCAATCTGATCTACACACATTCACATTGCTTCTCAATTTACTTTTGCAGTGTTATGGATTACAGCACTTAAATTGCACCCTATGTAATGTTTTTTGTGTTATATCTCTTAACATACATATTATTATGTTATGATTGTTTGTTGTATCCTCGGAATCTGTCATGCTATAGCTATTGTGATTGCATTCAGTTTGCTACATAAATGTATATTATTCTTTATATTTAAACCATATTTGAATTTTGCTCGAACTAAGGTTTGAACAAAAATCAAAATCTAGTGACCCCACAATCCACACTAAGCAACTAAGTACCTCCGACAGCCAATTCGTGAAGCAATCATGTCAATATCCTCAAATTCTCAGCCAAATATGTTGTGATCACTCGTTTAAAGAAGCTAAAGCAAAAGCCTCCATGTCTTCTTTAGTTTACCACCTACGGCATGGCGCCCAAACCACCATCGCAAGTCCCAAATCCCATTGTATACTGTTCTTTGCATCTTTAGGATTTGTAAGAGGGATCAATTCATTTCTTACTGCAATTAGATCGAAGAGCGGCATTTATAATTGCTCGCTGAATGTAACTCGATGTTGTGCACAACCACTAGATCTATTTGAATAGAAAATTTAATTATTAAGTTTCTTTCAAGCAAAATATTTTAGTTATCCTTTTTAGATCATCAAACCTATTATTAAAAATCAACTTTTTATAATATTTCAATTATCCTCTTGAGATCATCAATCTTATTATTAGAAATCAAACTTTACACTGTCCATCACAATATTGTAAGGTTGTTGGCCAAAAAGACTATAGACAAGTTAAATGTGGAAATGATAACAACATTTTATCTTATTCACATGATTGATAGGCTAAAAAAACACTTAAATCGCTGAGGGTACATTCTTGGTTATCAATAGAGAATCTCAAGGAGTTTCGCGCGTGTATATTGGTTAACATTCTCTTCTACAATTTTAGTACTAGTCTAGTGCTCATAATTAAGATGAGCTTGAATAAGCTATGAAGTGACTTTTGTTTGAATATACATTTCTTAAATAAAACTTAATGTAAAATGTTTGGTTTATTATTTAATTGTTTAGTTATTTAAAATCAATCTCAATTATAATTTTTTCATTAAATTATTAGATTTAAATAAACAATTAATTAAGAGAATACAGACAACTATATACAACCATATTTATTAGATTATCTGTATCCAACAATTTCATTTTTTTCTACCATCTTTGTTCATTTCCCCATCCCCATCTCTCTCTATCTCTCTCCCCCTAAATTTGATAAGTCTTAAAACCAAATTTTAATCCTCTCTCTCCCCCTCTCTCCCCCCCCTCTCTCTCCCCCTCTCTTTCTCTCAGCTCTGGCTGTCTTTTTCTCAACTTATCTTTCCTATCTTCCCTCAATTTTCAATGAATTTTAAAATCACTATCCATTTTTCCAGTTTAATCCAACCATTGATCACCTCTCTTATCCACCTCCAATCATATCTCTCTAACCTTTCTCTCTCCTTGACCCAATCTCTTCATTTTTTACACGCTGCTTTCTCTCTCCTACTCTATCATAAACATCCACTCTTCATCTCTCTAGAACCTCATTTTCACACAAACCTTCTCCTATCCCCCCTCCCCAAAAATTCTTTTTTTTAATAACATCTTTGTTTTCTATTTTAATCATTCAATTCATACTAAATCATCACTATGCTTTTTTTTTTATTTACATTAATTAAAAATTAAATTCGTATAAAGTTGTAGCCGTCATGATAAGCTCATTATATTTATAATATAAAAGGGTATGAATCAATGCCACCATCCAATATTAAATAAATCAGAATAATGGCATAAAAAGACAAATCGTATGGTCCAAAAACAACTTCTTAACTCCCCCCCCAATGCTTCCTTTTTCTGAACTTTGTGATATCCTCTTTCTTCTTAATTGAACCAATCCGCAGTCGCCACCAGAGCCCCACTCAAACCCCACTCGCCAATCTTACAGCTCAGATCGGACAATAGGTGGCTCCCCACACCACTTTGATTCTTATCCAAACCCCATATTTAATTATGATTCAAAAATAAAATCATCACCCCCCTCATAATCCTTAGGCTTCATTAGACCCCCTGTTCTAAAAGCTCCCCAGTACACTTTATGCGGCGAAAATTGTATAAATTTAGGAGACGAGAGAACAGAATTCGTAGAAATAATTTTAAGAGAAAAATCAAAGATGGGATTGAGATAATGATGAGGACAATGATAAGTGATTCAATCATTAAGTAGAGTGATCGATTAACAATCACAGATATAAGAAAGCCATGGTATTAGTTAAATGTCATTATCGCGTGAGGATTAGATCGATCGCCGGCGAGCCGGGGGTTTTTGAAATCAGCGTGACAGAGCACGGCGGAGAACAGGAGCAAGAAGAGCAGGAGCGGAGAGGTGAGGAAGATGACCTTCGGTGTTTAGAATCTCGACGGTGGTGCGGCCGCCGAGATGGGCTTTGAGATACGTGACGACGGAGATTGGAACAGAGACGTCGCGGGAAGTCTGTACGATGCAGCAGGGCACGCGCACAAGGCCTAGCACGCCTCGCAGATCAGTGTTGAACACGGATCTAGAGACGAAGAGGGAGATGTCCGGACGCATGTTGAAAAGCGTTCGACTAAACTCTCTCACCGCCGCCGGCACATCAGCTCCGACGGCGAGCGG